CATGGTTTTACAGTAGCAACAGTTTATAAACACCGGGAACTACATATCCCATGATTCATTTTAGTGCAGACAACATGAAGAAATATGTTTTTTAGTTGAATTCTTGGGATTATAACGGAAATAATGCACACCAAAATCTTGCCATGGTATTTTAAAAGCAAAAAAGTGTCCTGTTTACAATTATAACAGCTTCTGCAAAATATCGCAATAAATATAAATAAACTGTAAGATGCATCTCGTTATAATCTCGTAGAAAGATCTTTGGATTATATCGTTACATCCATAGCAGAAAGTAGAAGTATTTTGCAGAGATAGTGAGATCTTCAAATGTCATTTTTCAGCAGGTCTCAGAAAAAAAAAAAAAACAACTTTCAATTTTCAGACCAGTTCAAAAATGTAATGGACTGGAAAGCACAAATACCTGCTCTCAAATGTAGTGAAGTAAAAGTAAAAAATATCCACTTTAAAACGTACTTAAGATGAAATTTTAAGTATTTGTACTTTGCTTAAGAACAGTACTTCACCACTGACATTTATACATAAAAAGGTGACAGAAAAATGGGAAGGGAAAAAGGAAAAATATGAACAAATCAATTTTGTCTCATGGGAATTCTGACTCACTGGGCATAACCAAAATAGCATGTGGTAGAACTGGGCCTTTTAACCTGTCAGCAGTGGTGTGGTGTAAAATTAGGGAATGACAGCTGTTTTGAACCATAAAAGACCACTCTTTGACCCGCTAGATCAGAACAACCAATCACACGTAAGGCAAGGTGGTGGGAATATGTTTCTGTTAGCAACAACAATAAATTAAGTAGGGGTTGCTTATTTATTCAAACGGTAATAACCATGTGAAAATCCAGACATATAAATACATTGACCTACGCCTCAGGACCACAAACGTAAACTTTCCATACACCCGGAGAAGCATTTTCACTGGTATTTAGAGAGATTTGCTGCTTTGTCAAACATGGCGGACAGCAATCCTCTTGGGTGATGTTACTCTTTGTGGCCATTTAATAAAGCGCCCACACAACCCCAGCTGTAAGTATACTCACGCCACATAGTTCCATACAGTGTAATTATTACTGAGAGCTGCTGTAAACATGGTGGACCACTTCAACACCACTGTGCTAGAAGAGCTCTGTTGTTCCCATAGCATTTAGATACTGAAAGTTATTTATGATGGCAGATGGAGAGGTTGGTAAACATGGGGAGCTTAGCCAATCAAATGTGTTGCTGTTGTTGATGAAAAACCTTGAAAGAATAGTTTCAGGGTAATATTTTAGGAAATAAATGTGTGTTTCAATAATTTGCTAATTCATTTTCAAGCTGTGAAAGGAGAAAGTATGTATTTAAATCTGTCTAAATCATCTCTCACCCTTATAAACTCTTTGACTCATTGTTGATATTCACATGCCTATAATTTGAGAGTATGCACGGCTTTTTGCAGATGGAGAATTGAAACTGGAGTGGATGCCAATTCAATCAGTTCTACAGCTTTGTACAACTCTATTTACGAAAAAATACTTTAGAGTTAGATGTAGACAGAATACATGGTTGTCACAGTGTGGATTTTACAAGAAGAAAGTTGGGTACCCTAGCTTTAAATCATTAGCATAAACGTTAAAGTCTTTCTATAAGCATTATTCATTGGTTTCAGTCAAAGTCCCTTTCCTGTTACGGTCACCATTTGAGGGCTGCTGACCATTCAAAAAGAAGGTTTTTAATCGGTTATCTATTATCAGCAATGGTCCCAATTTTTCATCACTCCGCAATCCACGGAAAGCTTCTTATAAAATAGATTTATCTACCAATGTGAGCTGAGGGTTACTGTAGAATCAATATGAGTAATAAAAATGGAAAGTGATTGGGAAATGCAGACTGCTATAATAGGATCAGTGTACATTAGACCCCTTAATAGTGCTTAATCATCCACCCATATGATGCCCCCCAAAGCTGGCTAGTTAAATATGTTACAAAACACTCCCAACTTATAGTCAAATACAATTAAAGTAGCACACAGGGGTCACATTAGGTCTTCACACGTGATAATGAACCACACTGAGTGTAGAGCTGCACTGACAATCAACTATAATTGGTCCCTTGCCAGAGAATTAATATGCAGACTATTACAATGGCATTTCTTCCGGAAGGCTCCCGGGAGTTAATTAAACCGATGCCATTTTGGAGGAGTTCGGATTTAGGGAGGGGACGACCTTGACAGACTGGGATTGTCTCTCAGATGGATCACCGTACTGTTCCTTTACCAATGCACTTGAACCCTTATGGCTTGTTTGAAGGAAGGAACCTGCGCTGACCTGAGTCTTATCAAGCTGTTGACTGGGAAATGCCATGATAAAAATGGAGTTGCAACTAGAGTCTTTGTTTTAGGCTAATCCACTGTTTTGTCCCCCTTGGGTTAACTTCTCCATCAGAACTAAATTGTAGTAAAGGGTGATAGAGAAATTGCACTGCTGTACCAAGTAGATCTCCAGAACGATCTTTGTGGATAGCTCAGTGGAAGCACGCATGGCCAGATTTCAACTGAGAATACTATTTTGTTGACTGCTCATGTCCCCGAGTCTCATAGTAATGATCTTCTTCTTTGTTAGACATCAGTCTCTTTCTGCTCTTTACAACTCTTGAGTTACTCAAATTCATTTTACCATTACGGGGTAGCTCTGGGTTAGCCCTTACCTGACCAGCCAGAACCACAAGCATTGACAAAACTTTACAAAGATGAGTGGATCTGGAGCAGTATCCTGTCTTGTCAATTTCAGAGGGTGTGAAAAAAACATCATAAAGCACAGATTTTTACATAATCAACAATCGAAGCACCAAACTATTACTTATTTCAGGTAAAAGAAGTTATACATTTCATTTTATTGAATGTTAAGAGAATTTTGGTGAGATGTCTTCTGGATTTGAGACACACTGTGCTGTGTTTGGATCGTGTTTGGATGGAAGTTTTTCATGCTCTATTACCCAGTTCCAGTCCCTTCTGTATTCTAACAGAATGTACAAGAGACTGGATGGTCAGGCAAGGTTAGGCTTGATTTAGACCTATAATAGTCTTTGTTCTAAAGAGGTTCTTGGTTTGAAAACTTGAATGAACTGCTGTAAATTATATGGCAATGTTGTCTGCTGGTTCCAAAGCTGAATAAAATGTGAAGTCAAATACAGTTATCTGCACTGAACTTTTAAAGCTATTTTGGGAATATTTATGCTTTTGTGATTTTTGTAATGTGAATTTAATGTATTTAATGTATAAACTTAGGTTACGTTTACACTGAAATGAATCACCATATTCGAAACAATTTGTATTAAGACACGTTTCTGTGTCCGTTCCCTATCCACACAGTAACGCAACTCTGCCTGAACCACTAGTCACATGACTAGGCTGGCGTCACATGGGTGGTAAAAACAATAAAGTGGAGCACTGTGTCTGAAGTTACAGCAGCCGATTTCGAGCCAAGGAAGATTGCAAGCGTGAAAGTAGTAAGTAGTTCTAGCTACGCTGTTTCCAGTTTGTCTATGGTTTGTTTAAACGGTTTTCCACAATAGAATCACATGACCGATGTCACGAAACCCAGTGAATTAGGAAGGCGCAAGTCACAGTGACGTGGTCCAATAAGGACGGCAACTAGAGCTCCTACGTCAATGTATCAATGTTTTCTGGCGTCCACACAGTGCCGGATCAGATCTGTACAGAGCTGGCAGAACCAGATCATTCCATCTCTGGAGTTGTTTTCCATCAGATTAGTGTGGACGAACACTGCACACGCAACGAAAACGACTCGAATATGTACTAGTTTGGATGGGTCGTTACATTACATACATGTGGTTAATTCATCTTTTGTCCAGCAGTCAGTGGAATCTTATGTGTATGTAAGAAAATTGAAACTTGTTTAAACTTACATGAATAAATAAATTAGGCTGAATTTTTGAAACAAACAAACAAACAAAAAAATCGAATATTCACAACAGAATGAATGAAATAGATCTTCCAACACTGGCTGTAATCCAGAAGTTTATCCTCTCAGTGACTCCTGGATGAACTTCCTTCTAAAGAGTCACACAAAACTCAATCCCTCCAAATGTCAATCAATCAGTTGCTATAGTAATAATTCAAAGACGGCAACATACTATACTTCTACATCCATTTATTTAAGGAGGATGATACCAAAAACATGTGATTTAAACAAAGAAGTCAATATTTAAGTTATGAGTGATGACCACGCTCATTTCTTTTAAGGGACATACTTTATTGTACATCAGGTGGTTTATCCCTTTGTCCCACTCTCAATGCTATTCCATCTGGCTTTCTTCACATTTTCTGGAGAATTTCATTGCACATTGTAAATCTTTCTTTTTATGTGCATGTCTTTTCAGTCATATTTCAGAGAGGACCAGACAGTAACTCCTGGTTAAGATTCACAGATGCAAGTCTAGTGATGAACTGCACTCACAAGAACGTCCAAAACAGTAGCTCAAAGACAGAATAGAAAGTACAAGGTCTGGAGTTGACAGCGCCTTCACCGGCCAAATCTATTCAAATCACTATAGCACTCAGTTGTCTGGAGCAAGATTAAGACATGTAGCGAAAAGATGTTGTCTTGTCATAGTGACCAAAGTTTTTTTTCTTGTGTGTGTTTTTTTTTCTCCTATCGCTATGGTGTTTGAATGGGAATTTCTCTATTTGAACTCAAAGCCACTATTCTTACAGACAGGTTCAACTCCAGTTTACAGCTCCTAGGCAACTGACATCAAGGCAGGAACAGCTAAATGGCGACACAAGTCTACTGTATAAAGAGGTTTGGCAAAAAAAACAAACCAAACACAATCCGAAGCTCACTAGAACAGTTGCATCAGTTTTCTCATTATTACTGCCACTGCTGTTGCCACTGCTGCTGCTACTGCTGCTGCTACTGCTGTTTTTTTAGATGGAGAAGAGAACTTTTACATCAAGCCGTAGGTGGGAGTAAAAATGCCCTTACCTTTAGTTGTGCAGATAAACCCATAAAAATGTCAGGACAGGTCAACCTTCATGAGGTCACGGCTGTTACACTGCACCCGCTGTACCTAGAAAAAATACAAATGGTGAGATGACTATGTTCAAACATGGATTAAAATACAATGCTTTCAGACTCTACCAGCTCATAGCCAAAGCATGATTTAGTTTTTGAATATTTTGCCAGGACTTTTAGTGGTATCACGCATAATGGAAGGAGTTCGAAAGAGAAATACTGTGTAGTGAATACGAGTAGATAAGAAAGGGTGTATCTCCTTAAAGGTGCACCACGTAACTTTGTGGTTGGGGGTCTGTCACCTGCTTGTTTCTATGGATATGTTATTGCACAGCCTGGAATGTTCCACAGTATGACATTAAACAGACATACCTTTTATTTATTAAATTACAGGTTGGTACAGGTCCATGAAGATAGAAAGGTTTAATACCATAGTGTGAAACATTCCAGACAAAGCAATAACATCTGCATGGAAAAAGCATTTGATGGACTTACCATCAGAAACGTTACATCTTTAAATACTGTACTGATTGGAGACAGATGGGAGAAAAAAAGCATTTGTCACAGGGCACTTTTTAGTCTTAAACATATGAGTCAACAAAAACACTTCAAAAATAACACTCAAATGAGTTAAACACAGGAGCTTTAAAATCACTGTCCACATTTGATGCATATGGACTGACAGCTACCCGATTTATAATTTTAAACCAACATTGACTGCATTGACTAGATTAAAATCTAGTGGGAAATCTTTCTAACATACATAACTCATGCTATGGGCTGTACTAAATGAATGAAAGCTCTGTGTGGTTCCTGAACTCAGCGTGAGGCTTTCAAGCTCCAGTTTTCCAGTGGGTGAGACCATGACAAGATACTGACCAAATATTGAAGCAGGATTTCAAGCTGGGAACTCAACTCTTCAGTTGGTCCTGAATGTATTAGCTAGGCCTGCCACGTTCAATATATGAAAGCCAGAACAATATTTGGGGGGGTCAATTTGTTAAAAGTTTTATAAAATTTTTTAAATGACTCATTACAGATACAAACTATGTGCAATAGTGTTTCTGGTATTTATTTGTTGCAGCTCATGATTTTTTTAAGTTGTACATTTAGCATTGTTTTTGTGGTGTAAATCTGCAACTACCACTACCAGAATGCAAAAAATGTCAAAAAGTAATAATCTTAGAAATGTTTAAAGTTAAGAATACTTTTTGTGTTTCATGATATATATTAGTTGCAGTATTAGCGTTTATTATTTGTGTTTATAAACATTGAAATATATGCATCACAAAACCCATGAAACAAGAATGAACTGAAGCCAGTACTCCCCTCCACATGGTCTGGCCCACAACCTCCCCCAGAGGCTTTAAATATGGCCGACCTGTGGCAGGCACCTTCTTTGCCTCCAGACCATGTGGAGTGAATGTATGTATGATGTAACTGAAAAGAAACAAAAGAAACAAATAAAGTATATTTAATTTAACAGTGTGTGTGTGTGTGATAATTTAACTGGACTAACAAAATGCAGGATTATATGTCTAACTGTTTAGGCAGGATATGGAGAAATGAACAAATGTGTACAATTAAATGAGTTTAAATGAGACAAAGGCCCACTTTGTCACAGTAATAAATTAACAATTAATTCATTTGTTTGTCAGTGTCTCCTTGAATTTTGTCTAAGATTCACAGTTGCTGACATAAATTAAAACCATCCACATAGATAAATGGTAGCACTAGGCTGACAATTAAAATGTAGTTATCCAAGCAAATAAGTACTATGTCAACACTGTAGTCAAAAACTGTAGTTATTGCAACACACCCTGTGATTATTTGGCAGGGAAAATACACCAAACCACCTTTCAATGAACAGCAAAACCTTTGTTCTTTGAAAGGATAAAATGCACAAGTCCCCCGAGACCTGCAATGGAGAAGTGACAGTACTGTGCCCTCGAACACTGCTTTTATGTGCCTCCATTATAGTTATGGGATCCTCTGTGTTATTGTTAGTGTTAGAAAATGTTGAATCATTTTTTATCCAAAGAGCAGCATGACTTTAAAGCAAGCAAACAAATGTAAACTAGAGTGTAAAAGCCACAGCATTTGTTCAGAAAGCACATTCTGAGATCAGCAAAAGGACAACACAGGTGTTCAGCAAAAGAGGTGTGAGTATTTTACAGTGCACATGGTGAACTTTTCGGAATCAGCTATGGAAAATTATAACTATTATGATTATTTTGTAATGGTAATACATACAATATTACATAGAGAAGTGTTAAATTCAGATTATGTAAGTAATGTGCATGTTAAAGGTGCATTGTGTAACTTTTCTGGTGGAGGGTCTGTCAAATGCTTTTCTTTTTTTTTTTTTTTTTTTTTTTGCTTTTTGCTTTTTTTGAGGAGATGTTATTAAACCTTTCTGTCATCATGGAGACAAATCAAATCAGACCAAGGTATTTCTTAACTATAAAACCACCTGTAATTTCATAAATGTAGAACTATTTAATGTCATATGGTGGAATATTCCAGGCAGAGCAATGACATCTCCATGAAGAGTTACACAGTGCACCTTTAAGGTATGTTAGGTTTCACATAAATAGCTATAACTGAAGGTGCACAATGTAACTTTTCTTGTGGAGGGTAGGCCATAGATTATAGTTATTACTTCACCAGGAATATTCCAAAGTCTGTAATTGAATAAAGGTAAGATAGGTTAGGTTAACGTTTCTATGGATATGCCATTGTTGTGCCTGGAATGTTCCACAGTATGACATTAAAGAGCTACCTTACATTTATTCAATTGCAGGTGGTTTTATAACTCAAATATACCTAGAATGACCTTCCCACAGATCTGACCTGTAACTTGGTCTGGTTTTGTTTTCATGCATATAGAAAGGTTTAATACCATATAGTAAAATTCCAGACAAAGCAATAACAAATCCATGAAGAAAAGTATTTGACGAGCCCTGCACCAATGTTACAATGTTACACAATGCACGTTTAACTTTGGCAAAGCAACATCTCTTTTATTTTTTCTCCACTAGATATATTACACAGACTTATGGCCTCACATACTATAACCACTTGAGATTACACACTGTTGCAATGCCTTCATGTTCTTCTATATACAGCTCATGTTTGCTTGCAATATGGTCTATAGAATTGCTAATAAAAGGGAAGATGGTGGTATCAAAACAACCCTCATTTCATATATTCTGTACCAGCAGCCAGATCCTTGAATAGGGATTAAGTTAGTGTGAAAGAAAACACATAAGTAAGTCCAGCAGGGAGCAGCCGGAGAAACATGATCCTGGTTTGGGTGAGTGGTCAACACTGCCCCCCTCTGCCTCCACATCCCCCCCTACCCCCCAGCACACAGTAGCCACAGCTACTATAAATAGAATGGTAAGTAGGCAAGTGCAGAAGTGGCTTTTACTGGGAATGTGATCGATTTAAAAGCAATTTGCCCCTCTGCTCAGGCCGTGCACTTTCATATTATCAGATCCCCAAAGGTACAACAGTTCTACCCCTATTGCCCTAACAAGGCCCCCTTTGCACTGTAATCTTTAATTGCTTCATGTGGTTTGGTTCGAGTTTAGTTTTAAATCTGGTTTGGATTTTATAATGAGATATGTAATGATACAGAGACGTGCTAGCTGATTAAAAAGGAATTTATTATGTGTTTCATCTAATTTAATCCTGGCGTAAAGGTGCACTGCGCAACTTTTCTGGTGGAGGGTCTCCCACCTACTTGTTTCCATGGAGATGTTTTGCCTTGAATGATCCATGGTATGACATTCAACATATACATCTAGCATTTATTCATTATTGGTGGTCATCCTTAAAGATCGTTTGAAACAACATCCAAGTTATTATATTGTATATCGTCAATGATATAAAAAAAGACGCAAAATGTTAAGGAACACATTTATGATGGATTGCAAAAATATGACAGGATTAAAGGTGCACTATGTCATTTTTCTGGTAAGATCGCCCACTTGCTTTTCTCCATGAGGATGTTATTGCTTGGTCTAATCCACAGAACAGCATTAACTTCCATCATGCATATGGTCACGTAGTCCATTTGTGTCCATTCAGGTTCCAGTGTAGCTTTACTTGAAACAGGTCAGGTGTTAAAATTTGAGAACTCCAATCCATAATCCATACACACAATTGGTGAAAGTCTTACCAAGCTCTCCATGGTCACAGTCTGATAGATGCAGCACAGCAGACACACATGCATGCTTCTCTGATGGGCTGACACAAGACCTGGGCCTTGTCTTACAATATAGTATCTGAGGGGCTGAGAGAGAGGCAGGAGGAGGGCAGGGGGAACACAAACAAGAGGCAAACTGTGAGCAGCACAAATCCACACAAAGCAGGAGTTCAATACTGTCTGTCAGAGGCACCAGACCAAAACATACCTCTCCCAGCACCACCCGTATACATACCCATATCTGTTGTGTTTGTTATAACAAGGGCAGCAGGAGCCTGGGGTATGGAGAGGGATAGACAGAGCAAGCCTTACACTGCAAAAAGTAATATCTAGGCAAGTTAAAATGACTTAAATTGTTAACATTTGACTTTATTTGAGTTGATTCAACTTGACAAGTAAAATTGTCTACCAATGGAATAATTGTGTTTTTCTTAATTTAAGCAACATTATATTATGTTTCTTATTTTAAGTTAAAAAAGTTGTTGTTTTTCTTATCTTTAATGTAGCAAGATGTATTTTCATATATTAAGTAAAAAAAAGTCTTGTTCCATTGGTAAATCATTTTAGCCAGGTTGGCGCCACCCAATGCCTCTGCTCAATTTCAATTGACTCCAGTGACTAGGTCAGGAATCAGAATACAATAGATCATTTGCAAGAACCCTAGAAGTTGTAGACTGCGCACCAGCCAATCAGCAAAGAGCGGTGAAGCCATGATTTTGTCCCTTTTGTGGTACAGCACAACAGTAAACAAAGCGGTTGAGATGAATGTAGACGAAGCCATACATTCTGTGTTGGCAACGATTCCCGAGATTGAGGATTTAAAGCCGGAACAAAGAGAATGT